GGAAGAGATCAAGTGTAGATGTTTCCTGGCAACACTGGAAGGGCAGGCTTGTGAATGGTTCCACAAGTTACCCAAAGGGTCGATAGATAAGTGGAGCGACCTGGCCCACAAGTTCTTGGAGCACTTCGCATCCAGCCGAAGACAGAAGCTCCCCTTCTCGCATCTGCTCAATGTGAAGATCCGGAAGGGGGAACAGCTCCGGGAATTCATAAACAGGTGGGAGAAGGAGGCAAGGGACGTCCAAGGGGCGGATGATCAAGCCCTGATTGCCATGCTCCAAGCTGCACTCCCCCAAGGGGATGTGCGCAAGGAGCTGCGACGGAATCCTCTCTCAACCTACCAGGAGATGTTGGCCAGGGCGAAGTACTTGGTGTTAGAAGAAGAAGATGATGAGCCACCAGTCCGGAAGGAGAAGAAAAGTGGGCCACCGGTGGCAGAAGGGAAGAAGAGAAAGGACCATGGTAAGGGGCCAAACCCTACCGGGTATCATGCGAACAGACATCCTGTTCACGCAGTACAGTCGTTGCCTACCCCTCCTCATGCACCCAAATACTATGAGTACCACCGTAATAGCACCCACAATACGTCGGAGTGCGTTACGTTGAAAAAGGAGATGGATCAGCTGATCGCAAGAGGGCCACCTCCTCGGTCGGACCGACCGTCCTTGAGTAACCGGACCTGGAGAAGGCCATCAGCCCCCGCGGCAGCGATCACGGCGGGGGAAGGGCAGGAAGATGGGCGGCGACATCTAGGGCGAGATTGTGAGGACCTAGATGAAGAAGAAAGGCAAGGTCGCCGACACCTGGGGTGTCGGTTCATCATGGGAGGAAACACGGGAGGAGATTTAGTGTCCTCCCGGAGGAAGTGGAAGAACATGGTGTACCTGGCCGAGGTACAGAGGCCGCCGCTGCCTAAGCGAAAGAAGAAGGAACCTCTGATCTTCACAGACGAGGACTATCCCCCGGTCCTCAGCCCTCACAGGGATGCTTTGGTGAAAAAGGTGGAGATCAATAACGTGGTTGTTCACCGAACTTTGGTCGATACGGGTAGCTCGGTCAACGTCATGTACAGCAATACCTTTAAGGAGTTGGGGTTGTCCCGGAGCGACCTGAAACCAATCCATACACCACTATCAGGGTTCACAGGGGATACTATAGAGGCTGAAGGAACCATCAGGGTGAAGGCCGGGGTGGGAGATGGCACCCACCGGCTCTGGATCGACATGGAATTTATGGTAGTGCAGCTCGACTGTGCACACCATCTGATTCTGGGACGACCAGGGTTGGAGGATCTAGAGTGCGTAATCTCCCCCGCCCACTTATGCCTAAAGTTCAACACTCCCATGGGAGTGGGGGTGGCCAAGGGAAACCAAAGCCTGTCACGGTCGTGCTACGTCAGGGCGACCAAAAGCCAAGCCTGGGTCGACGAGAATGTAAGCACGATCTGCGCTGCAATCCAGAAGGAGGAGGGGCGACCGCGAGCTGAGCCAGCGGAAGAGGTCGAGGAAGTTTCTCTTGACCCGATCGAGTCAGAGCGGAAGGTGAAGGTAGGCAAGACCTTGCCGCTTGATTTAAAGGAGCAGCTACTGGAGGTTCTCCGAGCATTCAAGGTGCTATTTGCTTGGGGGCCAGAGGATATGCTAGGGGTCGACCCAAAGATCATCTGCCATAGATTGGCAGTAGATCCGACCCACAAGTCGGTCAAGCAGAAAAAGCGTTTTCTTTCCTCAGAACGGAGAGAGTTTGTCACCAAGCAGGTGACCACCCTGCAGTCCATTGGGCACATCCGGGAAGTCCGTTACCCGGAATGGCTGGCAAATGTGGTCCTCGCACCCAAAGGGAATACCTGGCGGATGTGCGTTGACTACACCGATCTAAATAAAGCTTGCCCAATGGATCCTTTTCCTCTCCCCAACATTGATCAGTTGGTTGATGAGACGGCAGGGTGTGAGCTGATGAGTTTTATAGACGCATTCAGTGGATACCATCAGATTAAGATGGCCGTGGCAGATGAAGAGAAGACCGCTTTCATTACCCCCAATGGGGTATACTGTTACAAGGTGATGCCCTTTGGTTTGAAGAATGCTGGGGCTACTTATGCGCGAATGGTGAACAAGCTGTTCGCACCAGTATTAGGGGGATGCATGGAAGCGTATGTGGACGACATGATCGTCAAGTCCAAACGGGTTGAGTCCCACGCCGGCGACCTGGAGAGAGTGTTCAAGATCATGAAGAAGTTCCAGCTTCGCCTTAACCCTAAGAAGTGTACATTTGGGGTTCAGGGGGGCAAGTTCCTAGGACACATGGTCAGCCGGAGGGGAATTGAGCCTAATCCAGAGAAAGTGAAGGCAATCCTAGAGATGGAACCGCCGAGGAATGTGAAGGAGGTCCAGCAGTTAACCGGCAGGATTGCTGCTCTCAGTCGCTTCTTGTCAAAGATAGCTGATCGAGCGGCTCCTTTCTTTCAGACCATTAAGAAGAGCAGAGGGTTTGTCTGGACCGAAGAATGTCAGCGGTCCTTTGAAGGGTTGAAAGCATACCTTCTCTCCCCGCTGGTGCTTTCGAAGCCAGAGCCCGGAGAGACCTTATCCTTATACTTAGGAATCTCTCCTCGAGCTGTGAGCTCAGTGCTAGTGCGGGAGGAGGAGGGCGCCCAGCGACCAGTATACTACGTGGCACGGGTGTTACGAGGGGCGGAGCTGAGATATACAAACATGGA